ATGACATTAAAGAGCACTGGAAAATGGCGAATTGAGAAAAGAAGCTCTTGTTTTGCAGCTAACTGTGTAATTATCCATTATGTTTGAGACTGACTCAATTGTTTTATCCTATTAAACACCCAGCACCAGCAATGTCGCCTTATTACGTAAGTGATGGATAGTAAATTTATTGATCCCGAGGGAAACTGCAGACTTATGTAACCTCTAATAATGAAAATGCAGCATGACAGACATTTCGGAGATATTTAATGTGTTTATTTAATGTGTTTCAGGGCCGAGGTCACAGGGTACCTGAGTATCCTCTCCAGGCTGGGGAAGTTTCTGGCTTCGAGACAATGCAAGCATCTCTATCAGTTCCCTGAAGACACAAAAATAACATCATCATCATCATCATCATTAAGCAAACAGGATCTCACTTCTGAACCTGAAGACAGAATGAAACTAAGCAGATATTAATAATAATAATCAGGCACAAATTAACGTTTCATTCTTGGTTTGATATGCATGATGTTTTTAATATAAGCTACTATTCTGACTACACTGATGCAAATTCTAATTACGGTACAATATTTATAATATTAATAAAGAGTATATGAGTAGTGCAAGTAATGATATCAGGTCCCGCCCAACTCGCCGACAAACTGCGCTATGATTGGCTTGTCATTTCAGACAGGCCAATCAGCGGCGAGGAGTGTGACCTACTAGCCAATCCTGGCCTTCGTCGGGATACAGGTAAAGCTATACGTTAGCACAGCTAGCCAAATTATCTAAACTTTCATTCGTTAGCTGTGGTAAATCGAACTTAGAGGAAAAGTTAAACAATTATCAAATATCACAAACGGAAATCAGCCATAAAACCAACCTGGATAACACTTCTATATCATTCAGAGTGGACAACAGCTTCTCTTTAGTCGATTTGTCAGCCGCCATGTTGCATTTCCTTCCTTCTTCTGTGTTGTTTATGGAGGATGTCAGAGCCGCTTAGTGTGCAGTACCGCCACCTACAGAGAGGGAGCGCGTATATTTCATAAATACAGTACAGCGCATTCAGAAAGTATTCACATCCCTTCATTTTATTTTCACATTTTATTATGTTGCAGCTTTATGCTAAAATGCCTTAAATACTTTTCCCCCCACATCAGTCTACACTCCATTCCCCATAATGATAAAGGAAAACCTGATTTGTGATAAATTTGCAAATTTATTAAAAAGAAAAAACTGAAATATCACATTGAAATAAATATTCAGGCACTTTGCTATGAATTTAGCTCAGGTCCATCCTGTTTCTCTGGATCATCTTTGAGATGTTTCTACATTTTCACCGGAGTCCATCTTTGGAATGTTCAACTGATTGGACATGATTTGGAAAGGCACACACCTGTCTATATAAATAATGCTGAAAATGTATATCAGAGCAAAAACCAAGCCATGAGGTCAAAGGAAAGAACTCAGAAACAGGATTATGTTGAGGCACAGATCTGGGGAAGGCTGCAAAAAAAAATCTGCTGCACTGAAACTTCCCAAGAGCACAGTGGCCTCCATAATTCTTAAATGGAAGACGTTTGGAACAACCAGGACTCTTCCTAGAGCCGGCCAAACTGAGCAATCAGGGAGAAGGGCCTTGGTAAGAGAGGTGACCAAGAACCCGATGGTCACTCTGGATGACCTCCAGAGGTCAACCATCACTGCAACATTCCACCGATCTGGGCTTTAAGGCAGAGGAGCCAGACAGAAGCCTCTCCACTTGGAATAAAAAAAAAAGCACCTAAAGGACTCTCAGACTGGGAGAAACAAGATTCTCTGGCCTGATGAAATGAAGAGTGAACTGTTTAGCTTCAATTCCAAGCATCATGTCTGGAGGAAACCAGGCACTGCTCATCACCTGTGCAATACCATCCCAATGATGAAGCATGGTGGTGGTAGCATTCTACCGGGTGGTGGTTATCAGCGGCAGGGACTGGGGCACTGGTCAGGGTAGTAGGAACACAGCAAAATACAAGAGACCGGAAATGTCCGCACACTGATGGTCCCCACCAAACCTGACAGAGCTTGATAGGATTTGCAGAGAAGAATGGCAGAAAATACCCAAATCCAGGTGTGTAAAGCTTGTTGCATCATACCCAAAAAGACTAGAGGCTATAATCTCTGCCAAAGGTGCTTCGACTAAGCACTGAGTTAGGTGTCTGAATACTTATGTCAATGTGATATTTCCGTTTTTTCTTTTTCGTAAATTTGCAGAGTTATCACAAATCTGGTTTTTGCTTTGTTATTTTGGGGTATAGAGTATAGACTGATGTGAAAAAAAAAAACGGATAAGGCTCTAACATAACAAAATGAAGTGATTGCACATGTGGGGCCACCCCCAGCAGCAGTGAGCGATCTCCAACCGATGAGAACTCCAACCAGAAGTGGGGCATCAGGAGGGACCGGACAGGTCCAGAGAGCAGAAGGGGTCAGGATCACTCAGAAGTAGCATGTGTAGCTAGAGAGAGACACAGAGAGACAGAGAGAGAGAGGGGGAGAGATTGTTAGGTAAGCTTTTGTCCTCTAATGGTTAAGGACAGTGTACTTTGTGTGCAGAGTGCAAGCAGGTAATCCAGCAAGACTAGCTATGACATCATAACTAAAAGGGGGAGCTAGAAGGTAACAGACATGAGGGCACCCTGGGACATAAAGCAGCCAACCACTCCACCGTCGACAAACCTGAGTGAACGCGTGAGAGTCGGGACCGACAGCATCCATACATCCCAGTTCACCACAACACTCTATGCCTGTGAACGACTGTTTTTGGGTTGCCCGGGTTCAGCATTGAATTTACTTTTGATGTCACATTCCACAATAGTGGTTAATGGCTCATATGAAAGTAGACACTCGGGGCTTTAAGAATTGGCAGTTTTTCATAAATATTCTTTTTTTTACCTAGTTTAAATGTTATAATTTTATTGTGGCAGTTGTATACAGTGTTTTACTATCATAAAGGATTTAGGTGTGCTGTCCGGTTTATCTGTGTACCAGTGTTATTATGGAGAAGTGTGAATTGTTTGCCCAGCAGGGGGCTCACACCCCTACGCTTTCCCGTTGCGCTGCTCACCAGCAGCTAAAGACAGAGACACTCTACACACTGAAACCCAACAGTGTCCTAACTCATCTTATAACAGATCTAAGGCGATAAAATATAAGTCGATTTCCAATTCTCTGATGTAATGAAACGCCAGTGTTCTGTGAGAAAGGGTTAAAAGGCCAGTAGCCTGTTCATGGCACTGCTTGTTGCAGACAACATGGAGCATGCTAAAAGGACTAAGGGCTGGTTTAAACTTCTGTTTATGTGGTTTTGCATTGCAATGAAGAGCTTAGGTTTATGGGTAAGCGTTACATGCAGAGACACTTTTTGCATTCTCACGCAATGCCAGCCATGAAAAAAAAATCCCTTATCACATTCAGTCATTAGTCTCTTCTATAGAGATGTGCTCATGTGCTCAACTGCTTTTTGAAAGTGTACTCTGTTTAAAATAATATCATAAATAATAGCTTACAAAAGAAACTGATGAAAAATGCTTTCTAAAAATATCAGTTTAGACCAAGTCACATGGTTAGTTTCTCAGGCTGGTGTCTTTAATATAACATCTCCTCTATGATAAAACTCCTGCATGGACAGTTATTAATGAACAACATGACAAGAAATCTAGTCATAAAATGCCACATTTAACTCATTCCACAAGTTTGTAAACTTCCATGTATGTCCTTGCCATCAAATCCAGCAATATTCTAATAATAACAATAATAATAATAATAATAATAATAATAATAATAATAACAATAATAATAATAATAAAACAAATAAAGAAAGAAACAAGCTTAAAATTGAATATTTTCAGTAGTATTTGAGTTTGTATATCAGAGATACTATTCTTCTAATATCACAGTGATTTTGCTTTTAGTGATTTTAATTTATTAATGAACATCCGTGAGTTTCTTCAGGACAGAGGGGAAACTGCGGTTTTTGTCTCCTTACCTTTCAACACAGAGATAAAAAGGAGATCCTGGTGAGAGAAAGACTGTATATACTGTAGCTACTATAGGGCTACTGTCATGTCAGAAAACTTACTTCCTCTCGTGCTTGTGTCATGGAGAATTCTTCCTGTCTCACACTTAGCTTCGAGGATAAACAAGGAAACAAAAACTCCTTCAAATCAGAAAGAAAATTTAAACCTAAGCAATCAACAAGGTCAGTCTCGAGAGCAAACACTGAGAGTTGATCATAGTGCATGATCTAAAAAGCCCAGAGGACAGGATATATTTGCCTCAATCTAACTCTCTTTACCACCACTGGATGTCTCCCCATCCCTTTATATCACCCATTTGCCTTTTATGTTATCTAAAGCAGCCAAGGCCGCTGAGACCGCACCAGATAAAGCTGACCTCGGAGATCGAGCTTCCCTCCTTATCAAGTTTGATGCATGTACCTCTTGCATGTGTATTGTGAGTTGTGTCTGTTAATCTATCAAGGCTTTTACTTCTCTTCATGTTAAGCAGTCCTCTGCATAGCCTGGTACAAACTAAATTTATTAGACAGACTTACTGGAGCCTGCCCAAGTGATGGAATGTGTTTGTCCTACTCTTCTTCTGATACTGATGTGCACACACTGCTCTAAGTCCAAAGAAGTAAGGCCATCTGATAATAATGAACTTGTTTTTCTCATGTCACGTTGCCCTTCACATGTAGGCCACGGTTCAGCGTCCCTTCCAGAGTTACATAAAGACCGACATTATATGCAATATAAGATTTTTCGTGATGTGACCCATACTCGGAATTTGTGCTCTGCATTTAACCCATCCAAGTGGGACACACACCCAGAGCACTGGGCAGCCTTTTTTGCTGTAGCACCGTGGGAGCAGTTGGGGGTTTGGTGATTTGGGGGTTTGCTCAAGCATCTCACCTCAGTGGTATTGAGGGTGGAAGAGAGCGCTGGTCATTCACTTTCACCATCTACATTCCCTGCTGGACCTGAGACTTGAACGCACAACCTTCAGGTTATAAGTCTGACTCTCTAAGCATTGAGCCACGACCGATATGGAAATGTTAAATGAAATATAGAATATAAAATAATTTCCCTAATCGGTAATAATCAGATTGCTGATAAAGGGATGATTCGTACCAACGTGATCCTAAGATCATGAGATTAAATAATACTATCTAAAACTTTGTGTCCTCTCATTCCCCAGAGACAGGTGAAAAACCCCCTTCATACTTCCAATCGAAGTGGGGAAAATTCCTACCTTTGTGCTTTGTGCACAATAGTGTATTCACCACCTGGGTTCAGCAGAGGACTACAACACTTAGATGAGTATAGCATCGCTTAATAAATTGTGGATCACATGATTAAAGATTATTATCCATCCTCTAAAGCTTAAGTATTTACTTCATAATTAGACAGAAACATATTTGTAATCTTCTAGGAAAAGTATCAGTGTTAAGTTATGTGTTTGTTTCAGTGGACTAATTAAGGGGTTCCTCTAGTTCAAGGATGGTGCACTGGAGGTCAGAGGAGAGGTTACTCGCACTTCACTCTGTCCTCTGTTCTTTGTGTCTTTAAGTGCTCGATTGCCTTATTCAGAGACATACCAGGCTCTTCTGCTGGGCGGCAGTGGCTGATGCGGCTCTACGTGTTCAGTCCATTTGCCTTAACTGATGTAGCCATTGCTAGACTTACACTATATTACCAAAAGTATTCGGTCACCCATCCAAATGATCAGAATCAGGTGTCCTAATCACTTGGCCTGGCCACAGGTGTATAAACTCAAGCACTTAGGCATGCAGACTGTTTTTACAAACATTTGTGAAAGAATGGGCCGCTCTCAGGAGCTCA